GTGTGCCTCAGCTCGCTGGTCGCCGCTCTCTCGTGCCTTGATACCGTCCGCTGCTTCTCAACGGGGGTCTCGCTTCTACCCGACTGGTTGGTTTATAGACGGCAAGTTTGCCTGTCACCGGTGGAGAGAGCTTCGACGCTGACTCGACTCACTGCGCTGGTCTAGACGGCGGGGAATCCGCGCAGAGCTTCGACGCCGACTCGACTCACTGCGCTGGTCTAGACGGCGGCGAATCCGCACACCAGCCAATCGCAACCGCCTGGCAGCCCGAGGAGAACGCGGGGCCCCGACCTGCGCTGGACCCGTGGCGCCCTCTGCAGCGAGCGCGCCGTCCGCCACAACACGAGGCGTGACCAGGCCAGGTCAGGTGAGGCGGGGCCGCGTCACCGCGCTGCGCCGTGGGGTGCCGCCGAGCCGGCCGGCCGCGGCTCACGCGTCATGGGAGCCGCCGCTGGCGGGGGGCACAGGGCGGCGGCGGCGGCAGCACTGGCGGAGCGGCTGCCCGCGGCGCCGCCGGCGCCAGTGCGTGCGCCGTGTTCGATCAACCCCGCCGCATCGCTCGTGCGCCGGCAGACTGCGTCGACGGTGACGGGCGACGGCAGGCTCGGCTCCTGCCACCGCCGGTGATGACGGGCGACGATGGGCTCGGCTCCGGCCACCGCCGGCGACTGGGCAGCGCTGGCCCACCGGCCAGCGGGTTGCTTCCGAGTCAGGCGCTTTTGTTGTTCCCTAAGTCATAGCTGCGACCGCTACATGTGTCGTTTAGGTGCGCTTTTGTCTCAGTTTGCGTTACGTGCTACAAGAAGTCCGGCGCGTTGACCCCATCATTCCCCACGGCCCTGGGTTTAGCTGTGCCGTTAGTTAGATGAGTGTTATTCGGGGTCGGAAGCTTAGCTTAGAGATGTCTTGGGACTGATATGCCCAAATTCGTTTTATTACGACGTTTATCTTATCAGCTTGATGTTGTTCCAGGACACATAAAAATCCATCCGATTTGACTGTCAAACGAAACGTCGACCTTAGCTTAGTTCACACTAATTCGTTTGCCTGCGACGAGCCAAACCGCTTCAAAGCTGTTAATCGTGAGTGCTTCGCGCCGATTGGGGTCCCCTGAGTCGATGAGGGCCACTACATCGGTCAGGCACCACCAGCACCGAACAGACGGTTCTGTGCCGGTAAAGGCCTGAGGGTCAGTGACCTGTTCGTCAGTCTGCCAGTCAGCGGCCCATAGTGCTTAACAGGGGTCTTGTGCTGGCAGGGGACCCCAAATCGGCCCGGGGCAGTGTTCCAGGGCACCGGACCTCACATGACAGACGGTCTTTTGTGGCAATCGGGGCCTTCTGACAATGTAAGGAGATAAGATAGCCTACGATGAGGGTACATGAGACAGTGGAACCCCCAGTGTCTGTCAGGGGGTCAGTACCGAATGGGAGGCCCTTCACCACATTTCAGCAAGGGACCGTAAAGCCGAACTGGAGTCTCCGTCAATCGTTGGTCCCCCGTGTCGATGAGGAAACTCTGCACCAATGAGGGCCTCGGCATTGATTCGGGCCGATTGCTCTGTACATATTTTGTATTTTTTACATTTTGTGTTGGCCGACATTGCAGCTACCTGCAAACAGCTGAATTGGTTTCGATATTGTATTATCATTACCACACAAATCTTTCAGTTAATATTTTATATATTCTGAAGCCAGAGGTACAACGTGCACGTATCTTACTCTGCCTGAGGGCGTCATCCTGTGGCATACCAAGTTCTGATCAACATGAATCACTGCAATATCAGTCTAATGCAACTCAATAGATGCCAAGCGTTTTTGTTTTTCAACTTCGGTGATGTGTGTAGGCATCATTTTCGTAACGAACAACAAATGGTAGTATCGCAAGTACCAAAATCGCGGTTAAAGCAACGTTGTCATGCAACGGAAACCCACGTCCGCATGCGATCAACCACGGACGTCATCGACAGTCGTGTCGCCTTTACCAGGATAGATGTGCCCGCTTACAGGACCTACTTAGCGATCGAAGCTAAAAGCAAAGGAGGGACTCTATATAAGCTACAATCAAGGCATGATCAACACTAATCGAAACACATCACCAGAAGCGCTGTCAACCATACGGCCTGATCACCACACTGATCACCCTGACAACCACACGGCCTGATCACCACACTGATCACCCTGACTACCATACGGCCTGATCACCACACTGATCACCCTGACAACCACACGGCCTGATCACCACACTGATCACCCTGACAACCATACGGCCTGATCACCACACTGGTCACCCTGACAACCATACGGCCTGATCACCACACTGATCACCCTGACAACCATACGGCCTGATCACCACACCGGTCACCCTAACAACCATACGGCCTGATCACCACACTGGTCACCCTGACAACCATACGGCCTGATCACCACACTGGTCACCCTGACAACCACAACGGCCTGATCACCACACTGATCACCCTGACAACCATACGGCCTGATCACCACACTGATCACCCTGACAACCATACGGCCTGATCACCACACTGATCACCCTGACTACCATACGGCCTGATCACCACACTGATCACCCTGACTACCATACGGCCTGATCACCACACTGATCACCCTGACAACCATACGGCCTGATCACCACACTGATCACCCTAACAACCATACGGCCTGATCACCACACTGGTCACCCTGAAACCCACACGGCCTGATCACCACACTGGTCACCCTGACAACCATACGGCCTGATCACCACACTGATCACCCTGACAACCACACGGCCTGATCACCACACTGGTCACCCTGACAACCATACGGCCTGATCACCACACTGGTCACCCTGACAACCATACGGCCTGATCACCACACTGGTCACCCTGACAACCATACGGCCTGATCACCACACTGATCACCCTGACAACCATACGGCCTGATCACCACACTGGTCACCCTGACAACCATACGGCCTGATCACCACACTGGTCACCCTGACAACCATACGGCCTGATCACCACACTGGTCACCCTGACAACCATACGGCCTGATCACCACACTGTCACCCTGACAACCATACGGCCTGATCACCACACTGGTCACCCTACAACCATACGGCCTGATCACCACAATGCGTCACCCTGACAACCATACGGCCTGATCACCACACTGGTCACCCTGACAACCATACGGCCTGATCACCACACTGGTCACCCTGACAACCATACGGCCTGATCACCACACTGGTCACCCTGACAACCATACGGCCTGATCACCACACTGGTCACCCTGACAACCATACGGCCTGATCACCACACTGGTCACCCTGACAACCATACGGCCTGATCACCACACTTGGTCACCCCTGACAACCATACGGCCTGATCACCACACTGATCACCCTGACAACCATACGGCCTGATCACCACACTGGTCACCCTGAACAACCATACGGGCCTGATCACCACACTGATCACCCTGACAACCATACGGCCTGATCACCACACTGATCACCCTGACAACCATACGGCCTGATCACCACACTGATCACCCTGACAACCATACGGCCTGATCACCACACTGATCACCCTGACAACCATACGGCCTGATCACCACACTGATCACCCTGACAACCATACGGCCTGATCACCACACTGATCACCCTGACAACCATACGGCCTGATCACCACACTGGTCACCCTACAACCATACGGCCTGATCACCACACTGATCACCCTACAACCATACGGCCTGATCACCACACTGATCACCCTGACAACCACACGGCCTGATCACCACACTGATCACCCTGACAACCATACGGCCTGATCACCACACTGATCACCCTGACAACCATACGGCCTGATCACCACACTGATCACCCTGACAACCATACGGCCTGATCACCACACTGATCACCCTGACACCACACGGCCTTAGGAAAGCATGTGCAGCCCAGGACATGGGGCAGCTTTGTCCCGTAACACTTTTGGTTTGCGCTTGCTTTTTCAAGCCAGGAATATGTTGTATATTTGCTTACATAGCTTAGTCATTAACTCATACATGTCCGCGATTTTCAACAAAATATATACATACCATGTGCTGACCTCAAATGAATGAGCGTCATTGTTTCCAAATTTCGAGATAGGGGAACTGCTGAAAATCGGGAAAACACACTAGGATATGAGTTTTGTTTGCATCGGTAGCAACTGAAAAAGTTCGCGGTACATTGTGCCTTTTGTGAGCTGGCCAAGTTTGACATGTGGCGGCTTAGTGATTTAGATTGCCAAAGATTAACGCATCTTTAGAATCGCGCACACGGATGCACAAAACAGATGCTGAACATGTGCGCCTATGTTCATCCGATGTCCCATAATCCTCACTGAAAAACAAGGCTCTTCCGTAAACAGACCGGGAGGGGATGTGACGAGTACTGATAAATCCTCACACTGATTCGCCGTTTTCATAACGCCAACGCATGTGGGATCGATGCAAAGCCTGTGTCGCTTCCATGCTAAGACCGATCAATTCTGGTGGAAAAACATGAATCGACCTCAACAAAATCTCAAACAACGTATTTGCTGCAACACTGCACTGTTCCCACCAGGCCGGGTCAACCAGCTGTCTATATTTACGAAGCGATGCCATGAAGTAACGTGAAAATCATATAGACGTGCTCTTTTGTTAATTTGAACATATGAACTTGTAGTTGTGCGCTTTTAGCGTATCTTGATGATGTTTATGTATTTAAATATGTGGTCTCCGTTAATGTACCAGCCCAGTTTTTCCGTGCCCGCCGCGCAGTGTTCGTAAAAAACGCTGCTTTTTGGGAACCGGAAAAGCTAGAGGCAGTCTTGTAACGTCAAACACGCGCAACAAATGCTCTGGCCACTGGAAACTCGAGCGCGATTACACAACACGACGGATAAATATCCTCAGAAAGTCTAGGAAAGTCGCATCGACCCTGCCCCACCCCCACCCCACCCTATTCCACCCAATCAGGGCTCGAGCCAGAAAAAGTCGCCGGCAGGTCGTGATATCATCTAAAGAAGTCAGATAATCGTCTGGAAGTACTGGCCACAGTGTTTGCAGCTGCCAAGACGTGCAGTGGTGCAACAGTGGACGATCGCTACACGCAAGCTGCGCACTGTCAGCCAGCCGGGTCGCGAGGCGGGCTGCCGTCTCTGCCTTAGGAAAGGACGAACATCTCGGCGGACGTCTGACAGGCCATCTGGGTATCCTCAACTGTACTGGGTGCGTCTGAAATAGCCATAGCGCAAACTCAGTTTTCTGATGAAAACGAGTCCGTGTGACGAGCGACGTAGATGGCAACGGTCAGGCCGTGCTATCTTCAAATTGCATGAGTTTCTAGCCTACAAATGTGTCAGCGATGGACGGCATCATCCGAGGGCAGCGTGACTTACTGATGGTGACCCAGTCGTTGTGGCCAGAGTCTCTGCGGGCGGCGGCCACCGCCTGCTGCAGCGCCATCAAGCAGACGCTACTCATGCAGACAGCTGGCTCGCCGGTGGCTGCCGGCACGCGCAAGCCGGGTCAACCGGCCGTCCCGACGTCAGCTCCGTACCCGGCATTTAACAGACGGCAAACAGCTGAGCCACTAACAACTAATGGATTAAACAACTAAAAACCACAAATAAAACAAGACATAATTGATGCAACGCGTCTAGGACAACAAAGCAGATTTATCATGGTCACTGTACTATCCACATCAACACAACAGGCCAAGCGAAGGTTGTCACAGGGGTCAGGGTCACATTAACGTCAACAGGCAACACACGTAACAAGCCACCAGGGCCACGAGATGGCCTCTAAACCGAACTGCCTAGCGTCAGTGGGCCAAGTGGTAGGTGAACGACAAGTCGTTTAAGTCAGACTGGGCCAGTGAACCCAGCGAAAGGTCGGTCACATTACATCAACCAGGTGACAGGCCGACAGCGAACCAGAAGGTCAATTTCACCAAGTCAGCCAGGTCAGGGTCATCATATCAGCGAGGCTAGCTTTACCGAAAGGTAATACATCGGTCGGTTGGGCCGCTGACCACGCTAAAATGCCACAAGCATCGTCGCTAGTCCCGATGTACTCATGATGCGGTACTCAGGGGTACGCGCCAACGAAGTAGCGACGGTACTGTCATGGTACGATGGTACAATGGTACATGATGGTAGTGAAGTAACAGCAGGGTGGGCTGCTGGATCATGAGGAATGGATGAGTTTTAAAGGGCTGCTGTTAAATGACATATTGAGCATCCAATGCCATCAAAAGAGCGACACGTAACACGAAGCAGCGCAGTTCAGTGAACGGAGCGCTTGGGTTTTGGAAACAAGTTTTGTCGGCCTTCGCTCAGAACAAACGGCTGGGTTTTGTTTGTCCATGATCTGTTCATTTTATGGTGCATAAACATAAGTCGTGCTCACAAGTGCTGCTTAATGAATAACAGTTTGTCTTAGAACAGCCGCAAACTTTACTCGCCTGCAGGTAGTAGCGATGCAGCGTATGTTCCAAATTACCCATTTTCCCTTCAAAGTACATAACTTTCGTCTCATAGACAGCCTCCGTCGCTCCACGGCACATTGTCACTGGTGACTGTTTTGCCGCCATGTCGGCCGCCACCTTGAGTTTTAGGATCGTCTGAGAATTACTCTTGAATGCCTCAGATTTGGGGTGACCGATAACAACATATGGGGTCCGAACAGGGTCGACGGGCGGCCCATCCCACCGAAACATCTGCTGGCGCAGCTTATCAAGTTTGCTTCTGTACCACCTCATACCACTGATCGCACATCACATCATGCATCGAAGGCAACGTAGCCGTGTAGGGGCCTCCCCGCTACCTCCCAAGGTGGCTTGTAACTCTGGAACCGATATCCAAATGCGCCTCACCTGAGAGCCAGATGGCGCTGGGCGCATGGATCTGCTACATCCTCTCAATAGCCGATCACCGTATCGCGTTCGAGCCTAGTGGCCGCACTTACTTAGGCTAGGAAGCTAACCTTGCATGGGCACAGCTTTGTCAGCGCTGGCTATCCTTTGCGCCGTACTGTGACTGCGTCCCACACCATGTACAAGCATTTTTAGGGTTGTTTTGGAGCTCTCTATCGTTATCTGGTGGGCCTTTGATGTCAACGAAGCCGTGCTCTTAGTCTGCTACGCATCTACCGTGTTTCCGGTTTTTGACAGTGCCAGAATAGCGCTGTTCTGGCCCTGAAAGGTCTTTCACCAAATGCCGTGGCATCACTTTTCCATTAGCTCGTGCGTATGGTAGAACGTTCTGCCTCAGTGTTTTTTAATCTGGGTAAAATCTTGAACTCGGGTCGAAATGTTCCATTAATGCACGCGTTAGCAGCTATAAGGACAACAATGCGACTGAAATTTGTAGAAACTTTTTTGGAGTGCATTTGTTGCTGTGGAAGTTTTGCAGCCACTCGTAGAACCGATTGTTCACAAGTGACATTTGAGGCAAATGGCACATTTCAGAATAAAAATTGATGTTCAGAACGACTAAATGATTGTTGAAAACTGACATGTGAGGTAAAATGACCCATTTCAGAAAAAAACATTACTGTAGATAACGAAGATTGTGCATGCCACTTCCTTGTGACGGCTTGGCTGAATGAAGTATTTAATTAACATTTCATAACTTTCATGCCTTTTCATTATCTAAACGCGGTTTACTCCACGTCAGAGCCATAATTTGACCGAAAGAATGGCTTCAATTCATCTCAATCTCTGTCGCACAGGAGCACTTAGCAAAAAGCAGAACACACTTGGGCCGGAATGGCTTCCAGAGTCTTGGTCGTTATTAAATGTTTGCCCTCAACCTCCGGTTTAAGGCAGAAATTGCAACAGCGACCAAGGCCCTGGATTTTTTGCCGGTCCTGTACGGTATTACATGCTCCACGTACGCTGGGTCAAAACGGGAGATTGGCCGCTGTCGATGACTGTTAGACTGGCATTGCATTTATTCAGCCACAAGAAAATAACACACGCAAAGCCGTTATCTTTGTCGATACCACCTCCAGTCAACAAACAAACGTTCCTGTATTCCAATTCACACCGCAGCCGCTGAAGCTATGCTTCAGCCATTTTAGAAAGCTCTGTAAGTCATCGCAATGTATCCACATTACCTTTGGAATTGAAGATGCCGATGTCGTTTTTATTGTTCTTCAGCAGCTTCACTCTGAAGTCCCTCGGCATGTCCTTGTGCGTTGGTGGGTAGTAGTTCTGCAGTATGCGTCAATATTTACAGCTATGAGTAATAACGATGATAACCGAAAGAAGACATGGCAATAACACAACTACCATTGCGCGCTGTTTGAAGTAGCAACATTCAGCTAACCAGGGAATGAACCAAATGTTTGAGTACGAGAATATGGAGAAATGATTCAAAATTACCCGTGAAATACTCTGAATTATTCTGCATGGTCCAGAATTCACGCTATTACGAGTATATCAACCGAATAGTCTCATGGTAGCCTAATCATGGGTGGGATGAGTGTCTCAGGGCATATTGGAGGTCGGCTATTTTCGGCACTAGAACTCGCAGTGGTAAGAAAATAGTCAGTCAGTGCGCAGGTAGGTACTGGTAGACTTGCAAGATACAAAAAGATCATTTTGTTATACGCTGAAAGAAAGGGATTGAGACGTTTGTGACATGAAATATAAGAAAAGCAGCACCAAGCGCAGATTTTGTATTATTTTTTGCGTTGTAGTACTGTTCTATATCCCTACGCATGACTATCCAAAACTGGTGAAACACAGAGATCATAATGCGTCTCTCATTCGCATCCAGAAAGAGTTTATACGTTTTGCAACTTGCCAAGACACACGCTGACCGCTCAGCCATTCCAACCAAACGACAGCGTGTCTTCACCTTTGTCGGACGAACAACTTCAGCTCGCTTGCCCTTGCTGGTACGTGGACACATGCCACCAGCGTTATCGTTACATAAACGGCAAGAAAAGACAGAGGCTGATATTAACAGCATTACCGATGCAGCCTATGATGTGATGGCGGCATTTCCTGCGATGACATTACACGAAATGTCCTGGTGAGTCGCACCACATGTTTACTTTAAGATGCTGAAAAATTCTGAGAATACCCAAAACATGACAACTATACATCCAGGAGAGGCGTATGTTTTATATGTGTTCTCGATGTGGTCTCCGGAATGCACCGGAATGCACCCATGTCTCCGGAATGCACCGGAATGCACCCATGTCTCCCGAATGCACCGGAATGCACCCATGTCTCCGGAATGCACCCTTAGCGCACGAAGCAGCTATCACAAATGACTCTACTCATCGTATTCTGGGACTGCGAAACACTTTCAGCAGCGCTTGTGCCTATACCGGCCCTTTCTGCTCGCCGTGTCAACATATAAATCGGATTTATCGGTGGACTTTACAATCTGACACATTTTGAAATTTGCTGTTCATGTAAGTTTGCCACGCATGTGGTGTTTGTGTATTGTGATTTATGGTCTTGTATTGACAAAATGCTTAATCCGTGACGAGTTATCAAACCTGTCACTGTCATTGATATTTAAGTCAATACATCACCAAGAAATAAAAACAGCTTGTGGTGGGGCCGATTCAGAGAAAGCAAAGGTCCTTACCCAGGCCCGGTTGGTGAGCTTCTGGCCTGTGGCCGGATCGTAGCGGTGCCGCTCTGTCAGGAACAGGCCCATGCCCATGGCGAAGGAGCCCTCGATCTGTCCGACGTCGACCCAGGGCGAGAGCGACTGGCCGGCGTCCTCGTACAGGTCCACTCGGTTGAAGCGGTTCTCCCCAGTGAGCACGTCCAGCTCCACCTCGGCGGCCGTCAGCCCGAGCACAGAGTACCCGGCCGGTTTGGGTGCCTGCCTGTGAACGGTGTCCGAGCGCCTGCTCAGTCGAACGCTTTCATAAAGTCGCTGATAGGTGGTCGGAGACATAGAGGTCATAGACGTTATGGAGTCGCTGTCTGATAGTCGTAGACATAGAGGGAACCCTTTCCAAACGTCGCGGGACATGTCAGTATGTAAAAAATGCACATCTTCAACTTAAGTGGGCAGTGATGAGGGTGTTTACGGTGTCCATTATCTCACGAGTTGGCACGTTGTTCTGTAGCTCCCAAAGCCAGGCTAGCCCGTGCCTTGCCTGCTAATGGATACACGCTCGCTGTTTTGAGTGTGCCAGCCTGGTACAAATGAAAAGTAGGTTTAAAAAAAACTGGATGTTCTTAAACAAAGCTTGAAAGACGTCCATGCTGGAAATGAAAAACTATCCTGGCTATTAAACCGAGAGCTCTTCAGTATCTAAGAGTACCTCAGATGTTAGGGCCATTTATCAAACCGACAGGTGCAAGGGCGAACTGATATATGCTGGTCGTTGTGACGGCTAGTTCGACGATGATTTGTTCTCGGAAACAACAATTCCAGTAAGCTTGAAGTGATTCTATAGGTGGATGCAAAACCATTTGAGAAAGAACTTGTCACTGCAGTGAGTACTTCTCTTTTCTTAGTGACCCTCCATGTGTCTCACTTTCTCGTTTCCACTTTGCCTTCCTTGTGTTTTCATATTTGTTCAGGAGCTGGCTACTACATGCATTGTTTTGAGAAGCTGATCGATTCTAGGTTTGCGGGCCAAGGGGATGTCTTAACACGAAGCGCACGGTACAACTCACACCAGCAAACACACTTTCGTATGGAATAGGCTATGAGGGTGACACAAGCAAACGCACTCTTGCGTGAGGTGGATGGCGAACACGAAGCCAACACACAACCGCACATGGAGCGTGTGGCTAAGTTGACACCTGACATCAGCAGTTGAGCCCTTACACGCAGTGGGCGCTGAGGTTGACGCCCCCCTTGCCGGAGGCCATCTGGACCACCTGCAGCCAGGGCCGCTGGGGCTCGCCTTCGGCCGCGCGGAACGGCTTCAGTCGCTCTATCAGCTGCTGGCAGGCCGAGCGGGCCGCCATGCAGCACCACTCGCTGCCGATGCTGCCGCCCGTCACGGTGCTGCCGGGGTTGGCCAGCGAGTTGTTCGGCTTGACGGAGACTTGGTCGAGTGGAACGCCGAGCTCGCGCGCCACCACCTGTGCCACCTGGCGGGCATGCCGACGAGCGCAGCTTAGCAGATCTGCCGTGGCCAGGGCGCTACAGTTCCCAGCAATTTCAAGCAGAGAATTCGTGTTATGACGTATACATGACTGACAGCCGAACGGCATACAGTTCTCAGGGCTAACAATACCTGGCGATAGCCGGAAGGCTTGCTGGCCACAACTTTGAGTTCATGTTAACACACCGGACCAGGACGATAGTACGAGTAATACCTTATCGTTGATACTAATTAATTGCTTCAATGCTCATTATCGCTGCGATCAATTTTTTTCTCGAAGTTATGGCGCTGGAAGTTGTCTCAAAGCTAATGAATGTCGCTAATCTCGGTAAGGAAATGCACCTCAAAAGGTTTTCCAGACTCCTCTCTCATTTATGTCGCGCTGAAGTGGATTGCCATCGTACTCATGATATTTGCAAGGTCAGGCCATGCCTCCTTGTAAACCAAGCGCTTTAAATCATAAAAGCACACACTTCATGACCTTGAAAGACCATTCTAACCCCATTCTACCGCCTGCACATATTTCATAAAGATTTCCAACAGCTATTCCACGCCGTCTCCTGCATAATCGTAGCATGCTTGGTTCTTGAGAAAACAGAAGGGTCTATAAGGTGCTAATCAGACCCATTTTACATCATTTCACCTGCAAAAGAGGCGGCTCTCTGCGAAATCGACCCATCCAATACCCCCTCAAATCATGAACTTTGCTGTAGATTGTTAGATGGGATTATCTATGGTACTGAAGTTAGATCTGGTAACTTAAATTCCAACAGGTCTGGGGGGCAAAATTAAGAGCCTGAGGAAAGTCGTAAGTCACTCCGGAACTAAGTCGCCTACGAAACTGAGTATTTGTATTTCCTCAAAATAAGTCATGTTGCGTTTTCTTGATGATCAAGTTATGAAAACGGTTTGCTCTTTTCCTAAACCTCAAATTGAACATGGTAGAAGGCCATGCCTAGGCCAAAAATCGACAAGTAGCACCTTTGCCCTCAGCCTGTCTCAGCGACAAACTCGTTGTAACGGCACACACGCTATGCATGAATTGTTGGATAGTTTTAATAGGCCGCTGAACTTTGCTGGTCAGATGGAAATTCTAAGCTTTTGGCTGGCCGCTATGTGTTTCTAGATAGCTGCCTGCAAATTAACATTTTGTTGAGCAGGTCTATTCACGCAAATAAGCTGGAAAAGACGGCACGCTGCAGTCATGTAAGCAGTTAAATTAATGGCTCATTTTTGGTACCAACGTCCGATAGTTTCGGGAGCAGAATGTGGACGCTCGGCTCGCGATCACAAATTTCGTCTGGGTAACATTGACATAATACTTTTGGCGATCATTCAGCCTAGCTTGTTGATTGACATTATGGCTTAATGGCAAGACATCTTTAGTAAATTTCACAAGCATTATATCTATGTCTGTACTGCGATGGCCGGCAATTTAAAATAGCACAAGGCTTTAACTGGCCGCCGGCAGAACAGATCAGTTAAGCCTCACTAAAAGTATCAGCGGTGTTAACTACAAAAATACCTTCAAATTCAAGCTTCAAACAAAGATGTGAGCATTGCAGCAGTCACTTCAAAACACGTCCAGATTTGGAGGACCCTTCACATTCTCACGCTTTCTTCACTCTCCAATCGTAAAACCGCCGAGTTCTTCCGAGCTTCTACATCTATGATGACGGCCTATTAAGAGTACCAAGCCTGAACAAATGCATGACATCCTCCCCACGGTTTCCATGGTAACCATATGCACGGCGATCAGCGAGGAAACAAAACACAAAGTTAGGGATTCCATCACGCCGTTACTTCTTTCTGAACAACTTACTCGGCGTGACAGGAGGACAGGGGAAGGGGGGGGGGGGGGGCGGGGTGATGCGACGCTCCAAATCCGTAAGATTTTCTGAAATTCCAGTCCAGCATATTGTGCGGCTTCGTTTAAATCTTCAGTTGCCTCTAGGGTATCCATTGCGCGTGTTTTGACACCAAAAACGTGTCCTGGCATTTCTGATTTTGGAGAAGCGAAGACGTTTTTTAGGGGCACTGCAAGACGATCCACTACCGGCGGGGGCGGTGGGCGGCGACCGACGATCCTGCGGGTCGCGCGGAGGGCTGACACTGCTACATTAACGAAGTCCTCCATTATAAATGAAGACTAAGAATAGATACAACTCCTAGCTACTACACTCACCTTTCCACCAAAAATACGCATCTTTATATTTCATGCGTCTACGCCGCATGATTTCGTACACATGGATGTTCAACGCTGAAATAGGTTGAGTTTCAGGAAAATTTGACCACAGAGTTAATCTAGAAGGTTCAATTAACAACATGGGATTTCTTACCAATTGCGAGTTGCTGTTGAGAAAACTCAATGTTTTTTTTTTCTCCGAGGTTCTACCTTTCTAAGTTTCCAAACGGCAGGATGTCACCGGCCCCCCCTATCAGTGTGTGCTATGAAAATCAGCGAAACAGGTTAGGGGTTAAACCTGTCCGCTACCATCTTTTTCATTGCTTTTACACCTGTCGATGTAAAATTTGCACTTGGACTCATATATCTTTCACCTGGTTCACCAGAATGACATATAGATTTGTGAGTTCACACAGATTTACACGGCGTGCTACAACTTTGTTCCTTTTCAACATTAACCCATCCCCATCGGACCACATTACCGTTCACCCGGGCTCGTGTCAATCCTGTTCTGGCTGGAGTGGGGAAGGGGGGGGGGCAGATTCCGACCAACTATCGCACAACTTTCCGGTCACGTGACCTAACTGGAAAACTGCTGAGCCGCGGCGACACTCAGCAGACGTAAGAGCACCAGTTGGGACGCGGCGCTAGTGGCGCCTCCCACAGGCGACGAGACCGGAAACATGCGAGGCAGCGACGGCAGGCCGGGTCCGTCCGAAACAGCGGCAGCATTGCAGCTAGGACGGAAGCTAAATTACATCACATACAGGCGATGCTGGCGTCAACAGACGACGGACTCTGCTCTGCCCTGGTCTGGTCTGGTCTGCTGTGCTCTGCTTTGTCCCCTCTCTCATCCCTCCCTCGTATCTCTCCTCCCTCTCCCTCTCTCCTCTCTCTCTCCCTCTCTCTCTCTCCTCTCTCTCTCTCTCTCTCTCTCTCTCTCTCTCTCTCTCTCTCTCTCTCTCTCTCTCTCTCTCTCTCTCTCTCTCTCTCTCTCTCTCTCTCTCTCTCTCTCTCTCTCTCTCTCTCTCTCTCCTCTCTCTCTCTCTCTCTCTCTCTCTCTCTCTCTCCTCTCTCTCTCTCTCTCTCTCCTCTCTCTCTCTCTCTCTCCTCTCTCTCGCTGCGCTGACCTTGGTGTTCAGGCCCTGGCCCATCTCGACACCTCCGTGGGACACGGCCACCGTGCCGTCGTTGTCGTATATGGAGACCAGAGCAGACATCTTGGCCATTGTGCCGACTGGGTACAACATTGGCAACAGCGCCAGCGACCGCTTACGCCAGCGGTTGGCCTGAAACGGGACAGGGCAAATTGCAATCATTGCAGGGTCAAAAATTACCTGGTCAAACTTGCTGAAATGCACTTCATTCGTGTTTCTGAGTTAATCAAAATCCTTGAATAGATTTTGTAGCAGTATGCCTGGGTGGAGGTAAATGGTTTTTATTCAACTGGGGGGCAATTTCGGCTCCAACGTCAAACATAAATGAGCCAAATCCAGCTGAAATGTTTATTGGGGTGTATTTTGGGTAAGTATGTAGTCATTAGGTATTGGTCCGCACACCGCCAACCTATCTTTCGAAACTACGCCCCTGCTTAGGTGTTGCTACTCAGATGCGATCTCTACCTGGTACCGTTTGTCAAATAGTTCGGCTGGGACCGGGCGAAGATTGCAGAGAATGAGGAGTATTTTATGTCTATTCTCGCAGTGGAACACCGTGACGTTTTGCTTGTTACCGATGCTATTTTAAGTCTAACTTAATGGCCTAAGTCCGGCGCAAAGCTCCACAAGTTTTCTCGGGGGGGGGGGGGGGGGTTCCCTGCATTTCTCTCCGTTCCTGCATTGGCCCAGACCCGAACAGAGCATGTCGAATAAGTACACACTTCATGACAAGTGTCTTATTATTTCATGTCAACTACCGTATGACGAAAGCACAAAGAAGTCCTCGGAAATGTCCCCATAAACTCTCCTCTGGGACCACTACAGATGCACACGCAGATACAAGTCACAGATGCACACGCAGATACAAGTCACAGATGCACACGCAGATACAAGTCCAGTTCATGGCTGTTTACCACATAGAGGCTAATACCTTATTGAAGGCGTTTCTCTCAGCTTTTCTCTGCTTGATGTCGCCTTTATCGAACATCTCGTTGATCATCATGGAGAACACCTTGTTGTCCTGTTCGGTGCCCATTGGCGTGCTACAGCGGAAAATTTTAGTAAGCCTGCCATTTTCAAGCTGATTCGGTGGTTGTTTGTGAACACCTCAAACAAGGCAACGTCAGTTTGATGTAAGTGCACTTTAAACAATCAGATGTAACAAATGCAAAAACCTGATCGATTAGCATAGGAGGCAACTGAACGACGCTTTTATTTTCGTTTATTTTTGCAAGCTTACCTTTTTTGCCTTCATGTTAACCATCGTCAGACACGACATAAATCCCGTATTACACCTTTCACCGTGCTTCCAGTACTTACGGCACTTCGGCAGTGGGGAGAGCGAAGTTTGCCTGTCGCACCTCCCAGGGGTCCTTGTTCAGTTGGTGGGCCACGTGATTCATCACCATCTCTATAGCAGCGATGGCGTTTGTGGTACCTGCGCAAGGCGGCAGGAAATGGAAAGGCATTAATGCGCGTCAAAGACGAATCCAGGAGTATGTTGATTAATCAGGTGATTCGATTAACAGCATGCTACTGGTGCCGGCTACTACAGAAACGGGCAGCCCCTAGTACTTATCGTTGATCATCAGGAAATGGGTGCATCGATTTCCATTAGTTAGGCAGCGTTTCACAGGCGGTGAAGCTATCAAGTGCCGACATTTATAGGAAAACGTTGTTTGGCGTTCAGGCAGCGAAATAGGGCAGGTTTCATCGGTAGCTGGTAAGCATTTGAAGACATGCAACACTGTTCTGGATAGTACAAAATACGAAGAGAAGACTGCCAATGTCACCTTTCTTAAAACCACCTCAGCGAACAGACAGTGAGCCACGCATCATCATCTCCGGCTTATTCAGCGCTCTCAGACGCTGCCGTCGCCTTCTTCGGCTTGTAAGCCGGGTCTCCGCCCGCCTGGCGTGTCGGATGTGTCACTGGTGACCCTCCACTTTACTGACGTGTCGGGTGTATCACTAGTGACTCTCCGCTCGCCTGGCGTGTCGGACGTGTCACTAGCGGCTCTCCGCTCCCCGGGTGTGTCGGGTGTATCATTGGTGACTCTCCGCTCGCCTGGCGTGTCGGACGTGTCACTAGTGACTCTCCGCTCGCCTGACGTGTCGGGTGCATCACTGATGATTCTCCGCTCGCCTGGCGTGTCGGACGTGTCACTAGCGGCTCTCCGCTCGCCTGACGTGTCGGGTGCATCACTGGTGACTCTCTGCTCGCCTGGCGTGTTGGATGTGTCACTAGCGACTCTCCGCTTGCCTGGCGTGTCGGACGTGTCACTAGCGACTCCCCGCTCGCCGGGCGTGTCGGACGTGTCGCTAGCGGCTCTCCGCTCGCCTGGCGTGTCGGATGCATCACTGGTGACTCTCCGCTCGCCTGACGTGTCGGGCGTGTCACCAGCGCAGGGGCGGGACAGCGGCCTGCGGCGGCCGTACCTGGAGCGCGGCAGGCGGTGGACATCGGCTGGTTGGTGGTCACCGTGCCGGGCGTGACGCTCCAGTTGTCCGCGCGGTATACGCTCTTCACCATGTGCATGACGTGGCTCGGCTCGATGAAACTCAGCACCGTGTTGGTGTAACCCGCGTTCGCTATCACGTGCATCTTGAGCCCGTGGATTTTGCCAGTGTCGTCGAAGCCAGCCTGCCGTTTGCGCACTCGGTGATAGTGGTGTAGGGGGCACCGGCGTCGCTACGCTTCTTTAAACAAAATAACCAGCTGTTATTCGCGTGCAATGGAAGGTCTTCACCATCAAGACAGTGCGGACTGGGCTAGGTGACGTTTGGTAGTTCATTCAGAGTGCACATTCATTCATGAATTGTTGGCAAACACAAACGGGAGACGTACAAAAATGGGGCAACCCAAAGTTGTCTGGGCGGGTCGTTAACAAAAACACGTATAAATAGTTCTAACAGATTTTTGCGATCGGGTGTTGAGTCTGAACGCAACATGTTCACAACATGTGCCATGCAACACGGACGGAAATAAGACATGAGCATATGAGCACAGTTACAGCCGTGAATTTACCCAAGAGAGGCACAATAACACATGTCTTTTTCGTGGTCAAATATGCCCAGGAGAGATCCCGTTTTGGTGTAGGATAAAATGGCCACCCACAAGCATCCTAGTCACTGGTAAATCATGCACACGTCGAACACGCGTTATCCAACTGCAACTAGACAATATGGCAAATTATTTCACCTTTGGCTTCCCCGATTCCTACCACAGCTGGAGCCCAGCCGAGGGCCTGGGCGAGCTCACCTCGGTCGAGACGAGGTAGGGAACCCGGCCGAGAGCCTCGGCGAGCTCACCTCGTACGAGACGAGGTAGGGCACCCGGCCGAGAGCCTCGGCGAGCTCACCTCGTGCGAGACGAGGTAGGGCACCCGGCCGAGAGCCTCGGCGAGCTCACCTCGTACGAGACGAGGTAGGGCACCCGGCCGAGAGCCTCGGCGAGCTCACCTCGTACGAGACGAGGTAGGGCACCCGGCCGAGAGCCTCGGCGAGCTCACCTCGTACGAGACGAGGTAGGGCATCCGGCCGCTGCACATGGCGATGTTGGTCTCGATGTCGAGCACAATGCGCACTGGCTTGTTGAGACGGACGGCCGCCAGGGCGGCGGCGGCGGCGATCGGCATCGGATTGGTGATCTTGCCGCCGTAGGCACCGCCCAGACGACGCACCTCTGAGTTGATCCTGCAGGATGATGCAGCC